TTCTATTCCATCTTTCGCTGCCCACCCACCCCGATCCACCTGGCAGTATTGTTCACCTGCAGCCAAAAGGATCTTGGGATCAAACCTAAATCAACTCACATCCTTCCTCAACACTCTCCCACGGCCCCATTTCCCTCTGAGTCAAAGTGAAGCCTTTACTGAGGCCTTCAGAGCAGACACAGTCAGCTCTCTGCCTCCCTCTCTGGCCTCATCCCTCCCACTCTCCACCTTCCCTGGGCTCCTCCTTTTTCCTCCAACTCCTGCCAGGCACACCCCTGCCTCAGGGCCTTTGCACCTGCTCTTTCCCCGGAGATCCATGCAACCTCACCTCTTTTGTGTCTCTGCTCAAATGTCATCTCCTCAGTGGGGTCTTCCCTGTCCATTCTATTTTTTTCTCAAACATGTTTATATTTCTTACATGTTTTTATTGATTTCAGAGAGAGAGCAAGGGAGAGGGGAGAGATAGAAACATCAATGTTGAAAGAGTCATCCATCAGCTACCTCTGGCATGCCCCCTACTGGGGCGGGGGATTGAGCCCACAACCCGGGCATATGCCCTGATGGGAATCAAACAGTGACCTCTTGGTTCATGGGTCTACGCTCAACCACTGAGCCACACCAGTGGACTAAGTGCATTTCTTACTGTGGGTCGAAAAGGTTTGCAGAACCCTGCACGGAGCAGTCCTACGGCTCCTAAATCCCACGTACAGTCTGGATAGATGATGCCAGTATCAGCTCTTCACTGGGACCCAGGTTACGTGGTTTTACCTCCTTTGGCTCCTGGGTTTCTCACCACCCAATGGACAGATCGGAAGACTGAGGCTCAGACTAGACAAAGCTCATGCCTGAGGTCTCCAGGCTGAGAAAGAAAAAAGCAGGGCTTGAGCCTTAGCCCCTCCCTCTCTCCTGCACCTACCCAATGGCCCACCCGCCCTCCCCCTCCCTGTTTGCTGCCCACCTACACAAAGCACTGGGGTGTGCCAGCCTGTCCTCAGAGCCCCTGGGCGCCAGCTGCCTCATAGATGCTCCAACAGTGCAGCCAGCAGGGTCCTCTTAACTCCCATTTGCAGGCAAGCAAACCGAGGCTAGAAAGCATTTCCAAGAATCAGCCATTCTGTCACCCTCTCCAAACTCCCCTTTTGGAGGAGCAGGAGACAGCAATGGCTGAGCAGGTGCCTTTCCCCCGCTCGGTTCGAATCCCATGCTTCAGAACTTTGTAGCTGGTGTGATCCCAGGCAAGCTCTCCGAGCCTCGGTTTCCTTTTCTGCAAAATAGGAATGATAATAACATCTGCCCCCAAGACCATGTGTAAGACTTAACTATGTTAGAATACGTGCAAAATTATTAGGTCAGCAACCACACCCCTTTGTTGGAAATCTTACCTGCGCCCTTGAACTTTGTCAAGGAGGCCCTTTCTTTTTTTTCTTTTCCTTTCTTTAAAAATATATTTTTATTGATTTCAGAGAGGAAGGAAGAGGGAGAGAGAGATAGAAACATCCATGATGAAAGAGAATCATGAATCGGCTGCCTCCTGCAAATTCCCCACTGGGGATCCACCCCACAACCTGGGCATGTGCCCTTGACCGGAAACGAACCTGGGACCCTTCAGTCCGCAGGCTGATGCTCCATCCTCTGAGCCAAACCAGCTAGGGCCTTATTTTATTTTATTTTATTTTATTTTTGGCTGCCTCCTGCACACCCCGATCACTAATTGAACCTGTAACCGAGATACGTGCCCTTGACCAGAACCGAACCCGGGACCCTCCAGTCGGAAGGCTGGCGCTCTATCCACTGAACCAAACCAGCTAGGACAAGGGAGGCCCTTTCTTGAGTTAATAGATCTAGAAAGCGGGAGGGTCAGAATTTGGGTGCAGGTCTGCCTGGCTTTTCACCACCGAGTCACGATAGTCCTTTACGATGTTAGTTTCGACAGAACAGCAGCAAGAGTTTCCACATTAAGGAATGTAAGACTCAGAACGAGTTAAGGATATGCTCAAGTCACACAGCATGTAAGTGGCAGACTCAGGTTTTGAACCCAGGCTGTGTGTCCAGATGCAGGCTGACTTTCGTCCCACGGTCCCCTCCAGAAAGCTCTGATCGGCAGGAGGAAAACGCAAGTTGAGGGCTGGCCTTGTCCCGGCTCAGTCCGATGGTCTTGTATTTTTGGCTCCAGCCCTGCCCAGCCTCCAGTGGCTGCTTCCCTAAAGACTCCAGGATGAGGGTACTGGGGTGGCACGGAGGATGGCAACCCCCTCCCCTGGCCTCTGATTGGGGCCCTGCAATCCCCCAGGATTTGGTGCTTGGAAAGCTGACGTTGGGTTGCTATGGCAATAGGTTTGGGGCGGTTACCATAGCAGCAGAACTAGCCTGGGTTTAAAAATATCTAGGAGGAGGTTTGTGTTTGTGTGTGAGTGTGAGTGCGTGACCGACCATGCTGTTGTGTGTGTCCAAATGGGAGGGCTTTGGGGGGGGGGGGGACGGTAGAGCTGGGGCTGCAGGCATGACTAGGGGGTGGGGGCTGAGCAGCACATGGGACTCCATGTGTGTTGTGCGCGCTGCTGAGTGATCTGTGAGATCTCCTATATTGTGTGCATTAGACTACGTGGGGCATGTACCTACATGGGTGTGATTACCCACTTTGTGTGGAAGGCACCCTTGAGCCTGTGTGTCACTGTGTGTTTCACATGTCACTCGCATGTATGCCTTATGTAACATAGGTTGTGCTTGTTTTGTGGCTGCAGTCGTGTGCTCATAACTTCTCAGAGCGCGTGTGGCCAAGTGCGGAGTAGTTTTGGCTCTGAATGTGTGCACCTGGGAAATACTCAAATATCAGATGTGCATGTGTGTATGTGTGTGTGAGTACCTGTGCTATGGCTTTGGGTCTGCATGACTGAGTGTGCATTATGTGTTATTAAAGAATGTGTGTGTGTACCCGTGTACCTATCCCCTATGAGTCTTTTTCATACATGAGAGTGTGCCTGTGTGAAACTGCTGAGAGTGTGTACCTGTGTGTCTGCAAGAGCGCTTGTGTGACGGGGACTGGGGGACTTCACACCCAGTCGCACGGATGTGGAAATATGTACCTGTGCGGTGTGAGTGCATGTGACTCAGAGAGTCTAAGGTGTGGATCTCCTCCCCGCCTGACCCCAGTATCTCCCTGCATCCCTCTGCCTCTTCTCCGTCTCCATGGCAACCAGCTCCTCAGCTTCCTCCTGGAAGATGGAGGGGGAGGATCCAGACTGCAGTGGACCACAACCCCCTACAATCCCCCTTGGCTCTGGGGACAATAGGGGGAGGGGACAGATGGGGGCCACCCCATCAACCTCAGGCCATCTGCTACCCTCTCCATCCCGGGGACCTGAGAACATGGCAAGGGAGGGGCAGCAGTGGGATGGGAGCAGAGGGAGGAGCCCCCCAGCTGCCACCATCGCCCTCCCCCAGGCCTCTTCCCAGCCGAATCTTGCCTCTGGCTGATCGAGGAAGGAAAGAATCCTTGGAGACCAGGAAGAAAATTCATATATCAGTGAACATCGCCTACTAGCAATGATCAATTCCAAGGAAATACCCCCATACTTTCAATGATTTTAGGCTCTGGAATTAAACCTGTCCTTCATTCAAATCCCAGTTTCCCCTGTGTCTATCTGTGTGCCCTGGGACAAGCCACACTCCAGGCTCCTGGGCCTCCGCTTTGTCATCTGAAAATGTGTTTTCCTTCATGACATGAATAGTAATACTCTACAAGGGACGGCTGCTTTGTTCCCCAGCGTTGTAAGGGACAGTGCCTGACGCTTAATGTGCTGATCGAATGGAACGCCAGTTGTGTGCTAGGCTCAGAGCTGCATGCTTTAAACTAAGGTATTCATTGAATGAATACCCAGGGGCCTTTGCAGGAACCCCGTGTTAATTTTTCCAGGAAGAGATGAAAGATTTTGAGGAGGACCGTCCTCCCAGCTGGGGTGAGAGACATGTGACGTGGGATTTATTATCTCCGCCAAGAGAGGCCAAGTTGCTGAGGCTAAATTTCCTCATCTGTAAAATGGGAATAATAAGAAGCCGAAACCGGCTTGGCTCAGTGGATAGAGCTTCAGCCTGCGGACTGAAAGGTCCCGGGTTCAATTCCTGTCAAGGGCATGTACCTTGGTTGCGGGCACATCCCCAGTAGGGGGTGTGCAGGAGGCAGCTGATTGATGTTTCTAACTATCTCCCTTTCTCTCTGTAAAAAAATCAATACTATATATATTTTTTTAAATGGTACTAATACTATATACTTATTTTTAAATGGGGCCTGGTTGCTCTGGGGATTCCACGTGACGTTTGTGAAGCGCTTCCTTAGAACCGGCCCGGGCACATAGTAGGTGCCCAGGACACGTTCTTTATTGGTGAGGGGCGGGGCAGTTTGGCCCGAGTCTGGGGTCCTACTGTAGCCTGGGGGAGCGGGGTCCCTCTGGCAGCTGGGCGGGAGGGGCGTGGCCAACACTCAGGGGCGTGGCCTAGGCTTCAAGGGCAGGCCAATGGGGCGCCGAGGGGCGTGGCCCTGACCGGCATGGGCGTGGCCTTGCGTGGGTGGGCGGGGCCAGGCCGCGGTGGGAGCCTCCGGGAAAGAAGATGCTCGGTCCAGCAGCCGCCGCCAGCCCTGCCGCCGCCGCTGCCACCCGTGCCCGCCGACCCCCGCGTCCCCACTAGCGGCTGCCTCCGCCTCCCAGCTCCGGCCCCCCGCCCCGAGCAGGGCCTGGGGGGCTCGGCCCTCCTCCCGGGGTAGCAAAGAGAAGGCAGTCCCATCCCTCCAGTGGCGCTGCCGGTCCCCGGGCTGGCTCCCTGATTTCGAGAGAGACACCCCACCACCCCTGAGTTCTCTCCGGACCTCATCCCGAGGACCCCCCTCGGCCCTTCTCATACTGCTCACACCCGTTCTTCTCGTCTCTGTCAGCCCCCCCACCCCTGCCCCCCAGAACCAGCTCCCTCCCTCCTTCCCTCGCTGGGGTTCCCCCTCCCCCACCCCGCCGCCGCCGCCCCCTCCTCCTCCCACATCCCCTTCCCTCCCCCTCCCCTCCTCTCCCCTCTGCCCCCCCCCCCACCATGAGGATGATGGCCGCCGGCGCGGTGCACGGCCTCTTCACGGCCTCCGCGGCCCCGCAGCCGCCGCCGCCCCCGCCGCCGCCGCCGCAGCCCCAGCCTCCCCAGCAGCCGTCGCCGCCGCCACAGCAGCCGCCGCCGCCGCCGCCGCCGCAGCCGCAGCCGCAGCAGCAGCCGCCGCCCCAGGCCCCCCCCATGGAGCCCGAGGCCCCGGATTCCCGCAAGAGGCCCCTCGAAACGCCCCCCGAGGTGGTCTGCACCAAGCGCAGCAACACGGGAGGTGAGAGGGGGCCGCGCTGGGGCCGGGGGTGGGGAGCGCGCCGCCGGGGCCTCGCCTGTCTCCATCCTCCTCTCTCTCCCCGGCTGGCAGGTGCAAGGGCTCCGGGGAGGGGAGAGGCGCCCCTCCCTTGGACCCGGAACCGAGAGGGGAGCTGGGGAGAGTCCGGACCCCCTCCCTTTCTGGCCGCGGCCCGGGGCCGGGAGCTTTGTCTGCGCGACCAGAGGAGTTGGGGGGGGGGGGGAGGGAAAGGGGATGGCAAGTGTCCTTGGGGGCGGGGGCGCCGAGGATGGGGGCGCGGGTCCCTCCGAGCCGGCGCCCGTGTCCTTGAGGGGTGTGCGATGTGACCCTGCGGGGCAGGGGTGCTCCCGGCCGGCGCGGAGGGGGAGGGGAAGGAGGCCAGGAGGCCTGTGGGCTCGGAGCTTTCCCGTCTCCTCCCCGGGGATGTCCTGAGCCGGGGCTGTCCTGGAGGGAGGAGGCATGTGCGGGCCAGGGCGGCGGGGCCGTGTGTGGGCACCGCCGGGTGGGTGTGTTGGTGAGAGGGAGGCACAAGGGTGGGTGTGTAGAGCTGGGTGGGTGGGGGAATGCGTTGTGGCTGGGACAGGTGTGCGTGTGTGTGTTCATGTGTGCGTGTGGGCCCTGTCAGGCCTGACTGTGGCCTTAGAGATCACGGATGAGGCAGGAGGAAGAGGGTGTGTGTGTGTGTGTGTGTGTGTGTGTGTGTGTGTGTAAGAGAGAGGGCGGACGAGAGGGGCCGGGATCCATGTTCGAGACCCTGGTGTGTGCAGCAAGGAAAAGTGTGTGCATGTCGCCCCAAAAGTGGCAGTGGCACAGGCATGAGGGTGTGTGTGTGTGTGTGTGTGTGTGTGACAGGCCAGCGGGTGTGTGGGGGACGCTGAATGGGCCGGCCCTGGGTGCGAGCCAGGAGAGGCCGTGTGTGCGGAGCAGGGGGAGGCAGTTGAGTGTGTGACACGGGCGTGCCCGGGGTGGGGTGGGCCCCGGAGAAGCTGGTGAGGGTGTGTGACAAGGAAACGGTGTGGGTGTGACTCCGGAGAGGCCGCGGCTGGGTGTGAGGCGTGGAGGTGTGCAACCATGACATCAGAGGGGGGGTGTGCCACGAGCGGAGGTGGGTGCCTGACGAGGCGGAGGCTGGGGCTCCGTGGGTGAGCCGGGAGCAGGGAGCGTGTGCATAGGACACCCAAGGGGGATGGGGAGGGGAGGGTGTGTGGGGGACACCGGCGTGTGTATATCTGTCACCAGAGGAGAGGGGGGTGTGTGTGTGTGTGTGACACCGGGGAGGTGGGGATGAGGGTGTGTGGCTGTCACGGGAGTGCGTGTGTGACACCACAGACGAGGGGCCGTCCCAGCGTGCGACCTGAGGAGGGATGTGTACGGGAGCATAAAAGACAGACACGCTGGGAGCGCTAGGTGTGTGTGTCTCAGGAGCAGGCGGTTTGTTGGGGGTCCCCTGAGCCCAGCCCGTTAGCCCCGGAAGGAGGGAGACCCCAGAGCAGACAGGCCCCTCCTGGCGGTCACCTTGGCCAAAATCTCTGCTTCCTCCAGACGGGAGCGGGATGGCCTCGGGCAGAGCATCCGCGGGCCAGGCGACCTCCGGCGTCCTCCCCCCAGACTGACACACTGAGCCTCTTCCTTCTATCCCTGCGCTCCCCCCGCCCTGTCCAGGTGGGACAGGCATCGGGACCCCCTGGCCGCCCGTGAGGGCGTCCAGCAGGAATTGGAGGAAAGGGAAGTGGGGGAGGGGTTGGGAGTGAGTTTCCTGTCCTTCTTCCTGCTCCCCCACCCCCAGCACACACATGAATGCGGCCCCTCCGACTTCCTTCCCTCCTTCCTGTCCCATGGCCATTCCCCGTGGCTGGGAGGGTCAGGGACCCAGGTGGCCCCGGAGCCCAGCCCCGCCCCCGCCGATGGGGAGGGGGAATCCCATTCTCCTCTTAAAGGGGCTGAGATGCTCTAAGCTAGCGCCTTCCTCCGAGGAGCACAACCTCTCCGCCAGAGCCGGCCAGGCCCAAGCCCTTGGCACCCTGCTCTGAGTCAGACTCTGAGACGGGGATTAATCTCCCAGCGAATTCCTCCAGGGAGGTGATCTGAGCGGCTCTTTCGGATGAGGAGCAATGAGGCGTGGGATAACGAAGCCACGGCTCTGTCCCGCAGCATCCGTGGTGGAGCAGGGGTCTGCTCAGCCCCGGGGCCGGGGCCCAGAGCTCACGTGCTTACGCTCGGCAGCAGGGAAACTAGGGTGAGCCCTCAGGGACCGCCGCTCCAGGCTCTCGCCTCTCCTCCCCTCCCACGGGCCCAGGGGGAAACTGAGGCCCAGCCATGCACAGGGGCAGCCCCTCCATTGAGAGAAGCGCTCGGGGGGGCAGGGATGGGCAGGGGTCCGAGACTTCCATCTCAGAAGGGAGGGCTCTTTCTGATACTTTCATGACCGTGGGGCGTTGGTCAACATCCCTTTTCGGAGCCTTGGTGCTTGCTACCACCATCTGCCAAATCGGGAATAACCGTGACCACAACGATAATACTAATAAAAGCTGCCAGTGTAATTTCGTAATGCCTTACATGCAGCATTTCATTCATTTCATTCTTCCAGTGTCTAGAATGTAACATTAATAATAATAATAATAATAATAATAATAAATTACAATGATGGCTAGCGCTGATGGTGTACAGTGTGCCAAGAATAACTATGGAAAGCATTTGGTGCCGACCAGTCACTGGTTATTCTATTATGTTATCCATTCTGTTATGTTATCCGTCTTACAAAGTGCGGCCCAGAGAGGTTAGGTCACTTGCCCGAGGTCAGTCAGCTGATCGGAGGCAGAGCCGTGATTCGAACTCAGGGAGCTGCCTCCGTGGTGTGGGTGGACCCTGTAGGGAACCTGGTCTTCGGGTGAGGATTGGGGGGGGGCACGGCAAGTTGTGGCCGCCCGGGCAGACCGAGTTCCTGCCCACCGCACCTGCCCGGTTCTCGGGGGCTGGTAGAGGAGATGGTGGCTGTTACACTGGCTTCTGGCAGAGGCAATGGGAGGGAGATGAAGCTCTAAGGACAGGAGGCATTCGGTGAAAAGGAGGATGGGAACTCCAGTGAGGGGGGGGGGTGTGGAAATGACCCCAGTCTGAGGGCCAGTAACAAAGAGCGCCCCCCTTGAGTACAGACGATAACTCTGAAGGTCCCATAGAATGGCCCCCGTACTTCTGGCTGTGTCCCCACCTCTGTCACCCCCACGTATGAACAGAAACGCACACCTCCCCACTCCCCCCAAATGTAGCTTACTCCACCCCTTACTCTTGCTCCCAGCATTCCTCGCTCTTTAACGCAAAGACCGTGGCGCCAGGGTTAAGGGCACTCGAGCAGCACGTTGTTTTGCTGCCCTGAGTCTCAGTCTCCTCATCTGGAAAGCGGGAACTGTCAGTCCTCCCTCTGCCTCTCCAGGCTGCTGTGTGGGTCACATGAAGTTGCGTGTGTAAAGCACATAGCACAAGGCCTGGCAGATGGCAAGCACGCAATAAGCAATAGCTCTCATTTATCATTTTTTTAATATATATATTTTATTGATTTTGTACAGAGAGGAAGGGAGAGGGATAGAGAGCTAGAAACATTGATGAGAGAGAGTCATTGATCAGCTGCCTCTTGCGCACCCCCTACTGGGGATGTGCCCGCACCCAATGTACATGCCCTTGACCGGAATCGAACCCGGGTCCCTTCAGCCCCCAAGCCAATGCTCTATCCATTGAGCCAAACCGGTTTCGGCTCTCATTTATTATTATTATTATTATTATTGCTATTGCTATTATTGTTGTTGTTGTCATGAGAACGTCAGAGTCCTGTTTCGCCCCTCCGCGGTGAATCCCCCCCCAGGGAGCCACACACACACACACACACACACACACACCCGCTCTCACTCAGAGACCGTGTCACCGCACACAGTCAGCATCACGCTCCCGCGTGCAGCCCTCCCGAGGCATGCGCCAGGAGTGTTACACTTCTCACACGAGCGGGCCACACCGTCATTCACAGAGAGGCCTCCCAGGCCTCCCCCCGCCCCCCCAGTCCCTCCCCCCGGCCTCAGCGGCCCCCTCCGGCATCCTCACACGCCCCTCTGACAAGGTCAGCATCACAGGTCCGCCCGCCTCCGCATTCCTCCACGGACAGGGGCACCCCAGGCAGGAGCGGGTGCGTGAGAGCAGCGCCCGCCGTGGCTTCCCCAGACACCTGTCCCAGGAAGCGGCGCCACCACAGCATGCACCCCTCAGCCCCGCCTTGGCATGGTGGCCTCCCCTTCAGATCAGACCCACCTTTGAGGGTCCGCTCTCTGACAGTGCTCCGTCCCAGCACCCCAGCTCTTTGGGGCAGGTAAACATTATTGCTCTTTTCTTTTTTAATATATTTTATTGATTGGTTTTTATTTTATTTTATTTTATTTTTTTTTACAGAGAGGTAGGGAGAGGGATAGAGAGCTAGAAACATCGGTGAGAGAGAAACTTCGATCAGCTGCCTCCTGCACACCCCCTACTGGGGATGTGCCCGCAACCAAGGTACATGCCCTTGACCGGAATCAAACCCGGGACCCTTCAGTCCGCAGGCCTGACGCTCTGTCCACTGAGCCAAACCGGCTAGAGCGGCAAACATTATTTAGAGGGGCAGAGGGGTTTGGCTGCTCTTTTCAGAAACACTCCTGGAAGAGAGGGAGGCACTGAGGAGGGGCGGAGACCAGAGACTCATAAAGACTGGGAGAGGAGCACTCACAGGTTTGGCTCAGTGGATAGAGCATCGGCCTGCGGACTGAAAGGTCCCAGGTTCCATTCCGGTCAAGGGCATGTACCTTGGTTGCGGGCACATCCCCAGTGGGGGGGGGGGGGTGCAGGAGACAGCTGGTCGATGTGTCTCTCTCATCGATGTTTCTCTCTATCCTTCTCCCTTCCTCTCTGTAAAAAAATCAATAAAATATATATTAAAAAAAAAAAAAAAAAAAAAAAGACTAGGA